TAAGTACTGACTCTGTGCCAGCTCTAATGTAAAAACGTCCTAATTCTGATTCTAGAGAAAGAAAATGAGGCTCTAATTGGTTAAATAAGTTGTCCAAGATCACAAAACTAGTAAGTGGTGGAGCCTGATATCTTTCTTTAGATATGTTACTATCTGTTAGACAGATTAATATTTTCAATCAGGTTATAGTCAGTTATCTGCCATTCAGTTTGCTGAGTGTAATTTTATAATTTCTGCTCTGGTTTATTATAGTTTGCTTCTTATTTTAGTGCACAGGGAAGAGCCTTGTTTTTCCATTTTCAGGTTCTTGGTTGGGGAGCTGGTAGGGATGAGGGAAGACTTCATGGTTGTTCCATGCACTTTCTCCATGGCCAAGGTAAAACATCATTCTGCCCATTTTCCAGATGAGGAAACTGGATCACAGTCACAGCGGACAGAAGCTGTAAAGCAGAATGCTGGTGCCAGCACTCTTTCAACTGCACCATTGTTGAGGAATGGAAAATGGATTGTGATTTGTGTGTCATATCCGATTAGCTGGTGTATTAACTTTCTATGCTATAACAAATTACCAAAAATCTAGTGGCATAAACAATACATATTTATTATCTTACAATTGTATCTTTTATCTTACAATTTTAAAATTTAAAGTTTTGGAGGGATATGATTCTGCCTACCATAGCTGGTAATGACTGTGTTAAGAGGGATTCTGGGGCAATGTCTGTGTTCATCAAGAAAGATAACTTTGGCCAATTAGCAATGTTTACCATGGATGCAGAAGAAGGATAATGCTATGTGTTCTCTATTCTACCATGGGTGCAAGTTTTAAAAAAAAAGTATCAAAATACCTATCGATAAGAGGCGTGACCAGCTAGTCCATGTGCTACAGTCCTAGCTGGAAGGACATTTACAAGGAAAATGCTCCAATTATCTGCTTGGTTTCACACCTTTGTAGTCCTTTTCTTCCTATAACTAGAGCTACTTGTCCCTCACTGGTGAGTTGAGTCCCTCCCAGGGTCTAGGAATGATGTCATCTCACTGGATCTGCTGAATGCCTACACAGCAGCGGCCGGTGCTAGTGACTAGAGGCACTCAGTCAGAAACAGTTCTTTCACAATAGGATACAGCACTACAGGGCAGATGCAGACCTGAGCAGTCTGCACTCTAGACAGGCCAACAACATAATTTTACCATACAAGGTAAAATTATGTCACTTTCCAAGTCTCATTTGTCTTGAGCTTTCTACCTCCATGACCATGCTCGGACTGCCTAAAATACTCTTCTCTCTTCTGCTAACTCCAATCCTGCTCATTCTTCAAACACTATTTCATCTTTGATTCTCCCCAGCTGGAAGAAAATCCGTGTTCTCATTGTATTTTTGCTTTTTAATGTATCTGAGACCACTGATGCTCATCTACTACACAAAAGTATGATGACTCACTCTATACCAGGCACTGCATCTGGCACTGGGGACATGCTAGGAATAAAAGACAGACTTGGCCCCTTTTTATGGGAATGACAGAATAGTGGGGGAGACAGATATGAGTCGAGTAATCACACCATTACCTGTTATCAAGGGGCCCCTGGGATCAGTCCAACAGGGAAAAAGTACATGGTGTTCTGAGAGTTATGAGGCTGCCCTGGGGAAGTGATACTTGACCTGAAATATGAAGGCTGAACAGAAATTGACCAGGTGAAGAAGAAAGAGGAGCATTTGAAAGCAGTGTGGGGAGAGAGCAGGGTGTTTGCAATGCTCTGAAAGGAAGGTAGTGGCTGGTGAGGAGAAAGTCAGAAGTGTGGTGCTGGCTGGGGTGGCTGGCAGGAGCCAGGGCATGCAGAACATGTTAAGGGCCGTGATCTTTGTCCCAGTAACTACCTGTGCCCACTCACTTGCCCTTATCCCAGTCTAAGAACCTTTTGTGTTCACGCTAGGGTATCCCTTACTTTCTAAGAATGTTGGTTTCCTCCACCAGCTTCTGTGTTTAGGACTGAGTGAGAAGGGTTAGCGTTGATGTCAAGTTATAGGCACACTTAAAGAAAGGTAAAAATAAGTGGTATAGTTTTGAGAATAGAAGAATCTCCCTGAACAAAGAATTAGGAATGGAAAAGAGCAGAGACTGAGATAGGAAATCAGTTTTTAGTTTCTCTGTGATGTACCCCACAGAGACGAATGTGAAGTGACCAATGTGAAGTGTCCCAAAACGTACACACTAATCTCTAACAGACTTCAATCTGAGACTTGAAATTCTCTGGAAAGTTGGGGAGACTCAATTATAAGGGGTGATAGAGGTCTAGAGCTTACAGAGGGGTAATATCTATATCCCCCACAGTGTCCTGTATAAAATAGGTTCAGTGATTAATAATAAATATTAAACTGAATTTTAGCACATTGATAACCTTTGTGTAATCATCTATATACACCGAGGACCATTTTTCTGGACTTTTGTCAATGAGGAGGCAGAACACTGTGAAAGAACACTGGCCAAGATTCAGAAGGACAAAGTTTTGTTTATTTTTTGTCCAGACTGGAGTACAGTGGTGCAGTTATGGCTCACTGCAGCCTCAAACTCCTGGGCTCAAGCAATCCTTCAGCTTCAGCCTCCCAAGTAGCTGGTACTACAGGCACATACCACCATGCCCGGCTTATTTTTTTAATTTTTTGTATTTTGTAGAGACTAGGTCTTGCTATGTTACCTTAGCTGGTCTCAAACTCCTGGCCTCAAACAATCCTCTTACCTTGGCCTCCCAAAGTGCTAGGATTATAGGCATGAGCAACCGCATCTGGCCACAGAAGGGCAATATTCTGGTTCTTACTCTAGCTCTGTTGTGGAGCTTCTGGGCCCTGCCCTGGAAACTCTTTCAAATCACCATAAGCCCTACCTTCATTGTAAAATATAATGAAGTCACCTTAAGTATATTTATAAGGAAGGCAAAAGTTGAAGTATAATGAAAACAACCTGGAAAATGCCCAAGGAAGGCACAATATCGGAGCCTGACATGTCACACATCCTCTCTCATCGAGTCCAACACTGCCAACTTCTCTCCCAGTGCTGGACCGGATTGCTGTTGATTCAACTGAACACCAGAAGAAGTGGCTGGCTTGTGTTCAGGAGCCGTGTTGTAACAAAAAATGTACCTTCTCTTTAAACACTGAAACCATATTCAGTGAAGTGAGATGCTTCGATTCCAAGAAGCATATCGTGCTGAGGGAACACTATCAGATGCACATCTCCCATTTCCCCAGCTGCTGTTTCTCCATCTGCTAAGAGAAGAAAATTATATATCCTCAGCCCCACCTGCCTCAAAAAGATTCTCTAAGTATAAATGTGGATACATGCTGCAGAAAATATTACAATGTCCCAGTCAGTAAAACAAAATCTCCAAAATCAATTTGCCATGTCAAAGCTAAGTTTTATGTGGGCAACATTTACATTAATGCATTGTCAGTACATAGAACGATAGCATCCCAGGGCACAAGTGTTCATAGATAAATCCAGTCCTACCCAGTGTAGAATCTCATCTAATATAAGGAGTAGCTCAGAGATAGGGAACTCACTTTTTAACAAGGTGACCTATTCTGTGTTGTACTTAGAAATTTTCCATTCAATGATTTGACATATGCTTCTTTGGAACTTTCTTTCACTGATTTTGGTAATGTCTTTTGCAGCCACACAGTAAAAGTATTTTTCTGTGTGATAACACTTCAGATGCTCAAGGAAAGCAATTACGACTCCTCTTCTCACAGCACGTGGGTACCAAAGTCCTTATTTACCATCCCACCTCCACAGATGCAAAATATGTCATTGTCTCCATTACAGGGTGAGTAGAAGAACCCAGCCTACCTATATGTGAAAATCTTTACTTAAAAGTCTCTCTTTTCTGTCCTGGAATAATGACTGCAAGTCCAGAGCAAATTTGTCATGGGGTCCAGGTTGAATATCCCTTTCTTAAATAAAAATTTCAGATATGTTCACTTTACTGATTGAGAATATGGATAGACAAATAAACAAATAAAATAAAGAAAAGAAATTGACTACCTTAATTCCACAAAAAGGAATCTAATTTTTAAACCCCACCACCATTTAAATATCTGAAATTTCTCTGGAGCTTGTGTTGGGGATCATGCAGGCATGTCATCCCCAGAATTCATTTTTCAAGGACCCAGATTAAGCAGACTCAAGATACTGGGATTTGTGTTTTCTAACAACCAAAGGTCATCGAGAATGTCACAGCTATTTCTCAAAAACACTACAACCTGGTGAACCCACTAACTTTAACATAAGTACAGTTGACCCTTGAACTACAGGGATCTGAACTGCGCTGGCCCATTTCCATGAGAATTTCTTACACCTGTCACCCTGTGACAGCAAGACCAACCCCTTCTCCTTCTCCTCAGCCTTCCAAACATGAAGATAATGAGGATGAAGACCTTTATGATGTTCCACTTCCACTTAACAAATAGGAAATCTATTTTTCCTCCCTTATGATTTTCTTAATAACATTCTTTTATCCAGCTTACTTTATTGTAAAAATACGATACATAATATATATGCAACATACAAAACATGTGTTAATAGACTATGTTATCAACAGTAAGGCTTCTGGTCAACAGTAAGCTAACAGCAGTTAAGTTTTTGGGGAGTCAAAAGTTATTTATGGATTTTTCAACTTTGCAGAGAGTCGGGATTCTTAACCCTCACACTGTTCAAGGATCAACTCTAGAGCAGACTAAGGTCATCTCCCCAGAAACTCTCACAACTCCTAAACAAATAGATTCCCTTAAATTTTCCTGATTATATGGTTCTTAAAAGATCAATGGCTGAGTAATTCTATCAGTGATATATTTCTGTTATCTATTCTGATCACTCTCTAGGCTTTGCAATGTCTCAGAGCCATAGCATATATAGGCTGGGATATATACTGTGAAATCTGTTTATAAATTTGCTAAGAGTTGACAAGTTTAAAAATACAGTGTAGAGAAATTACTCATAGTTGTGGAGGAAGATGGGAACAAGTGCCAAATGTGCTTTTAATGAGGATGTCTCAGTATGAACATATGTAAAAAGAACTTTAAGAAATATGCATTATGATGAACAAAAATGATCAAGCTAAGTTCTCAAGGAAGTTTATAGGTGTACAAGATCATGGTGATTATATATACAATGAACAGCTTCTTCATGAAGGACCATTTTGTTCGCTGCTAATGGACCAACATACTTGTCTCTCCCAAAACACTTCAACTAGACAAAACATACCAACACATTAGTCAGAAATATAACTTTATTATAATACTTCATAATCTAAAAACTTTTTAAATTCTGGGAACAGAATATTCCAACTTCTGTACAACTGACTGACCCTGCAGAATACTGGAAAACAGTGTCTAAGTGGTCTAAACTTTGCTGATAAGAATCTATAACCAGTTTTGGGGGAAAAAAAATCAGTGCAAATGAAAATTTCTTCCCCACAAAAAAAGTACAAAGTTCGATCTGTTCTCCAGTTTAACCTTGAACGTGTTTTCCCATAAACTTTGGTGATTTCTCCAAAAAATCAACTGCCTTAACTCTAAGGTTGACTGCCCATGTGAACAAAGAAAATATTTAAAAATAAGACATAAATGGGACATGGCATACAGTTAGGGCCATGATGTATAAGTGGAGTATCCTTCTGAGTGAGCCAGCTCCTATATTTTGAAAGTAAATACATTTATGTCTCTAAGGAAGCACAACATACAAAACACATTTCCTTATGTAGGGGTCGAAACTTAGTGGAAACTTAAAAAAAGTTTTTAATATAATAAATAAATCTCAAAATAACTTGTTGTATGTAATGTTGCTATAGTATAACATTGTGGTGTTTCCTGAAGATCACTGGGTGCCACTGTCAGAGAGAGCAGTCATGCCCTCCAGATATGTTAAATGAAAACCCCAAATGTCAGTTACTTCAAATAAAACAGAAAAAATAAATTCTGGCTATACCACCTTTAAAAACAAGTTGTTGTCATCGCACACACGTTACAGGCGAAGAGCATGCAAAACAACTAACAAGTCATGTTTTTAGTATGTAAAAGGCTAAAGTGCAATCATGGTATAAGCATCAATAATAAATAACTTTGGAGAAGGTTAATTCTCCAAATGAATAATAATAGAATGTTACAATTTTTACAAAGTTAGTATTCACAGCTGTGTTCTTTCCCCACTTGATAGCTGCCTATACATCACATGAATGGTTCACCCCCATAAGACAAAAGTCAAAGTGAAGTTCAGAAATCAACATTTTCACTATGATAGGCTCAAAACATCTGCATAAGTTATACTTTTCAATTGACTGGCATTTTAAGTAACTGTTTTATCACCTATTTTTAACACACTGCTAATCTGATGCTTATTAGAACAATCATATTTCTACTAATGTTAATTAGGTTACAATTTTAATTTTTAAAATAAGATAATTCCATTTACATGAACAAACATATATTGTTTAAAAACCACCCACCACAAACACACACTTTCTCCATGAGTATTTAAAAATAAATTATTAATATACTTAACATATATATCTTGTATGTATTTATATATATATATGCATATATTTGTGGACAAAATTATTCTTGTTTCCAGGAGGAGGTCAGCACTTGTAAACTCTGCATGAGACCTGATGATATTGCTAAATTTAAGGAAAAAAAATAACAGAAATTCAATCTTGAAGAAAATCGTAAAGCAGAAAGTTCTTAATAGAGAGCTATTTGTGGAAACAAAAGCCATTTTAGAGAGAGAGGGAGGGGAGGTTAGTATCAGATTCTGGCTCCTACATGCATTGTTTATTTCAGAAATTACTTTAGAAGGCGAAATATAGTGAACACTCCAGATACTTGGTTGAAAGGTAAGATCATATATTTTATCATAAAAGGGCACAGAAGCAGCTGGAGGCGAAGTGAGCTGCTAAGTGGAAAGTTAAGCCAGTAGAGAGAAAGTCATGCCCACAGCTAACAGGGAAAGAGCTGCTGACACTGCCAGGGAAGCAGGTCTTAGGAGAGGGCTGAGCAACACTGGCAGTGCTGGATGCCCCCAGTGTGCAATGCGCTGGCATTCCAAGCACCCAGACACAGCTGAGAGATGCTGTTCATAAGGGTTTCACCGTTCTCCCCAACCACAGCTACTGAAGCAGGTATTAAGGTAGAGGCTGGTGATGTGGTCCGAGGATGTAAAATACTCAGCCAAAGAAGATGGCAGAGGTGTACCAAAATCTAGATAAACATGCATCTGGGGCACCAAAAAAGTCTCCATCAAACAAAATGAAAAACCATCCATCAAAATGAGAACCAAAGTCTGACTGAACAAGTCCCTTAAGCAACCCATCGAGTGAAATCTTGATTTACCAGAATACTCGAGGGAACAGGAATCCTTACTTTGGAGGCTTTCAAGTTAACTGAGGGGAAGGTTATAAACACACACAAATATTTTTATTTCACTGCTATTAACAGAACTTTACCCTCCCATCTCTTATCTCACAATTTGGAGAGAAATGGGCACAAATTTTCTCCCAATGCCTGACATCTTGTGTGGCCTTGGGCCTGAGAATTGTAACCACTGCATGGAAATCCAGATGCCAAGATTGTTGGAGACTGGGCCAGTTATTTCAGAAGTTGGAACTTTCTCTTAAGGTTGCTTTTATTATTATTTTTAAAAACTCTTTCTGTAATTTGTAAGCTTCTAAAAAGGGGTTAGACTAAAATTCCAGCTTACTGAGACTCCCATTGGTCAAGTTCTGGTTAATCAAGTTGCTCGTGCATGTTATGCCCCTTGTTTTTTCAATGTGTTTCACTGTGGGATGTGTCTAGGAGAACATCACTGCTGGCCCCTGAAACAACATTCTCCAAAGCTCAGCAATGATGGTCCAGAGCTACCCACCCTTTTAGATGATGTTCACTATGGCTGTCGGTTTTTTTTTAGCCATTTTGGGCCTGATATTGCCTTTTCGGCTAAAGCCCAGGAGCTCTCCTTTCTTCGGTGGTCTGCAGAGGTCTCTTGAGGACTCGGCCTGGTCATGAATGGACTTGGCAGGCTGCATGTTGGCTCTGTCATCCTTGGCCTTTTTCAGGTAGTTCCTTGTCTTTGGGTGGAAATGGGTCTTGAGATCAGGGTTGTTATACACCGAATGTGGGTGCCCTCGGCTTCTACGGATAGTTGGGTGGGGATGGAGAGATGAGCAGAAAGACAGATTTATTTGAAACCTTAAAAGAAAAATAACTATTCATAGCACAATCACTCCTGCATTCTATCGCAGTGATAATGTTATCACTAAGATAAATCATATATAATAGTATTTTTCCTCCAAAAATTCCCCTGGTATCCATGAAATGATCACATGATACAAGTGCCCAGGAAGATATTACTATTTACCAATGATAAAATTGAGGCACAGAAAATGTCAAGACTACCCAAAATAATACATACAATTGATCTATGGAGAAGATGGGATTGGACCCATATCACTTGACTCTTTAAGTGCCTACTAGGGGACTCAGACAAATCTACTGAATAGATAATATAAAGTATATGATTCACAGTATAAACTTACATATATAATGTAATACTATATTAGTAGTACTACAGAGCTATTATAACCACTCTATACTTGAATAAGAGAAAGTTATACTATGAAATATTACTCTAGTGCTATACACTAATAGTCTACGGCATATTTGAAAGTCACATCAACATTTTACAAAGTTTGATACATAAGCAGGTAAACCTAAGCCTCTAAAATCCATTTATAGTATAGATATCACACAAAATACAATGGGAAAACACACAATACAAACATTATCAAATGACCCAAGTATAAAAAGATTTACATACAGGCATTTGGGTTTCCTATTTGAGGAGATATCTGTAAGCTGAAGGAAAACACATAAGAAAAAAACATTACTTCTCTTGAAAGTTTAATTTGGTTTTAAAAATCTTTCTTGTATTTTTAAGAAACTGAATATACATTAAAGAATCAGTAACTGTTATCGTCGCATTACCCCCATCACCTCAGTGAACAAGGACGTCTTCTGCTCAGCCTCTGACTTCTCAGGGAGCCTCTGTGGGCTACTGTTCTGAGATTTCCTGGAAGTCTATGTCAGTAGATCTCAAAACTTTCAAAAAGTCAAAACAGCCCCTCCAGTAGAGCAACATTTGAAGAAACATTAAAAATGTTGGGATGATCTGGCACTATTTCTTGACTGATTCTGTCTGTATTTGCAGCTAATCTTCTGGTCACACTGTCTCAACTAAGGGGAAAATTGGCACATAAGGCTTATTGCCTAAAACACAATGTTTCCAAAATGAGAGCATGTGAAGATCAACCCCACAACTGTCCCCAAAGCCATCCATCATTGAAATTACTTTTTCCTCTTCATAACTCATGCAATGAAATATCTGCATGCATTTTTAGGGGTGGGCTTAGAATGCTCTCATTTGCAGGATAAATTGATAATTATCATTCTGTGACCCAGATGTCACTATCTAGTTTATAGGCAACCCTGTGTATTCTCAGCCTTCAGATCCTGATCTCCCTCATGTTGCTTTCACTGGAAGTTGTGTCACATCAGTGGGCAAACCAACAGAAGAAGAGAACAAAAAGGCAAACAAAATGTGGAAAAAGGGTCACCGTGGTGTTTGGGCCAATGTGGCCATGATACATGTCTCTGCTATACTAAAATAATCCGAAAAATTCAAGCTCAGAATAACAGGGTCACTTCCCTGCCCACTCCCTTCTTCTGGCTACAGAAAACCATAAAGAAGGCTCCTTAAAAAAATTCTGAGGCACATGTCCCCAAAGAGGTAAGATGGGATTCTTACCTTCTGTCTTTTGACACAATCAAAAGTCAGCAATATTTTGACCCTCTTTGTGCTGGCTGAGTTTGGCTTGAGACTGGTAAATTATACCAGAAAAAGGCACCATCCTGACGTGAGGTTCCTGAAGTTATGCAATATATAAAGAAGGGAGGACAGATGGCTCAGGAAAACGCCAGGCTGGCAGCTTCCAGAGACTCCAAAGGCATCGGCATTTCTGCTTTCTTGTTCCCCACTCCACCGCCACCAATAAGGACTTCTAAGTTAGGCATCCTGAATAAACTTTAGTCAATGTGTAAAGGATTGAAAAAAAAAAAGTACAGGGCTTTTCTTTAAGTTTTTCATCTCCCTTTTAAAAAATTATTGAGGCATAACAAAATGTGTTCACTTTACTGTATGCATGTATGCAAACAACAGTTTAATGGTTTGTTACATATGCCTTTGGGATTTTATGTAAAATTGAGAAAAAGAGTGTGTGTGCATGTATATTCTTCCCTCCCTGACAGAAAGGCCAATAGTGTTATTAATGCTCTAATAATACTGTTATCAGATAGTCACCAGATAGTGAGATCTAGATCACCATTATCAATGTGTTCCTCAAATGAGAGCATTCTGAGCCCAGAAGAGTCCCTGACTTCAAAAATGTTTTAAGAACTACAACCTTAACAACTATGAATGTCACTAATGGACCCTGTTGGGACCTTAAGAAACAAGAGGCATTTCCTGTATCTTACAGAGAGGGAAATGCATGACACAGATGGGCAAAGATGGGCCATGAACCTCACATATATGTAGACACCATAAGTTGTATGTGTCTGGGGACTACATAGTATGTCCATGTAACAAACATGTTACACACACTGGTTATACTGACCATATAACAAGCAGAATTAATCCTATTTTGGGCTATTTTGGTAAGCACTAGCATTCCTATTTTACAGATATGGAAAGCAAGGCAGCAAAGATGAGTAACTGAGTAACTGACTTGAAGACTCAATGTGTTACCAGTAAAAGGGCTGAGCTTCAAACACAAGTTAGCCAACTCCAAGCCTGACCAAACCTTCACTCTGCACTGCCTCCCTTCCTAGAAAGTTTGTGTTTGTGTATGTAACAGTAAAGAAGTGTGTACACAATAAGTTAAGTGGAATCGATGACTGGATTAGAATTTCTCCAAAGATCCTATAAATGAAGTTTGGGGAGGAGGAGAGGCCTGTTATCACAGTTACCACAGAATTTTCTCTGCTTTCCTCTCCATGAACACAACGAGGCCACTGTTCCTCCTGGGCCCTGAGGCCCAGGCAGATAGAAAATTTCTTCCCACTTAGCCCATCTACCTACCTCCATTTTCTCCTAGTCCAACTCCTCTGTCTATTTTTTGTTTTGGGAGAGGAAGAAGTTAAGATGAGGATCAAGAATGTCTCTGAACAAGGTTCCAGGTTGGAAAAGTATGAATAGCCTCATACGGAAAACCAAACTGAGTACAAAATGCTTGGGCCCAGTAGTATTTCAGATTTCAGATTTTGGAATATTTGCATTCTACTTACTGGTTCAGCAACCCAAATTCAGAAATCTGAAATCCTCCAACGAGTGTTTCCTTTGAGCCTGGAGTATACAAAAAGTTTTGGATTTTGGCGCATTTAGAATTTTGAATTTATGTGTTAGGAATGCTCAAAGATGGAAATTACAGACAGTTGGGACACTAAAAGGGGGGTGAGGGTTCAGAAGCTACCTAGCGGGTACCATGCCCACTAGTTGGGAAATGGGGACACCTGAAGTTCAATCCCCCACCGGTACATCGTATGTCCACGTAACAAACATGCACGTATACCCCCTAAATCTAAAATAGAATTTAAATTTAAAAAAAAATAAAGATGCTCGACCTGTGACATAAATTCACCTATAAAATGACAAGCCATGTCTTTGATATATCAAAGTGCTAAATCTGGCCTCTTAGGATATCTGTTGCTATAGATACCAAGAATAAATCAGATGCTTTTTAACAAAGAAAGTTTGGAATAATATCTTTGGCCCCGCTCAGGGAAGATGTAGCGGAAATCTGGACTTCTAAAGCTGCAGTCTCACCCAGAATAGTTTCTTGCCTCAGTGCACAACAGGATGAGCAGAACATTCTAACGGATTCCCTCCCCCCTCCTGCTTGCACACCTGAGCTCCCTCCTCCAGAACAGTCAGGATTGCCAGCCCCAGCCCGCTCACCCTCTCCACTAAGGATGCACTGCACAGTAGTGCCAGTTTTCTTCATCTCCCTTCTTATATCCACCTCAGTTCCCTGCTTCTCTCCTCTTTCCTATTTTTCTTGTTATCACCTCTAGAGAGCAGTGAAATTCCTAGATTGATATGTAAGTTACTTCTTTCTAAGGTGACTTCTAGCATTAAGATTCTTCTGAACGATAGAAAAATTTCCTTCCCTTCACATTTAATGCCTTTTCTGATACAATGTTTTGGTATCTGTATCATTCCCTCAGTCCCCTTGAGCATTTATGTTCTTTTTCACCTGGCTGATTTCTAAAAATATAATATGCTTACTCAGATATTTTATCTTTATGCTCTGAAAAAAGTGCTGCTGAATTAGACACAAAGTGACCTACTATCCCATCTGTCAAAGTCTTTCACAGAATTGCTCAAATGGAAGGTCATGAAACAGCTTAGATAATCTTATTTTAAGCGGTGCATTTATGTCCTGCAGGTTGCTAAATTAGGACTATCAGTAATTCATTTAATACATGTTTATTGGGGTACAGGACTTGCTGGATGCTGAGAGAACTGCTGTGAGCAAGATATATGAGGTCCCTGCTCTCAGTGAGGGGGACACAGTGAACAAGTAAACAAATGACAATAATCGCACATAGTAACAACTACTACAGTTTCAGTATTCCTGATCCAAAAATTCAAAATGTTCCAAAATCCAAAACTTTTTAAGGGTCAACATGATGCTCAAAAGAAATGCTCATTGGAGCATTCAGATTTCAGATTTTCAGATGAGGACTGCTGAACCAGAAAGTAGAATGCAAATATTCCAAAATATGAAATTCAAAATATTATTGGTCTTAAGCATTTTGAATAAGGGATACTCAACTTGTATTACAATAAAATAGACTAACAAGAAGAACTTGCCTACAGGGTCTTCAGACTATCTTATAATGTGGCACATTATGGTCCAAATTAGAATTAGCATACTAGACATGGCAATGAGGGGAAACAACGTCTACCTAATCCTTTCAGAAACCACAAACCTAAATCTCGGTTTTCCCAGGGCAACATATCCTCCCTCTAGCCATCAGACAGTCACTACAGCCTGGTCATGTCCCACTCAAACATGGCTTTTGTTTTTTCATTCCGTGCTATAATCTAACTGCACTTTATTGTACCTGAATTAGTCGATTCATCCTTAGGTAGAACAAGTCTGTTGAAGGCAGATCATGGCATGTTTGGAATATAGAAATTGCAACCATAAATATTCATTAATTTCCCACCATATTGGTATGTACGTGTGCATTTTGTATGTGTGCATGTATGTTGTGTACACACATATGTACAGTCATGCACTGCATTACAACATGCAGCCCACCACCAGCAGACCACGTATACAAAGGTGGCCATACAAGATTATAATGGAGCTGAAAATCTGTTATTTAGTGATGATAGAGCTGTCATAATGTCACAGAAAATGCATTACTCACATGTGTGTGGTGTTGCTGGTGCCAATAAACCTACTGCAATGCCAGTCATACAAAAGTCTAGCACATACAATTATGTACAGTACATAGACTAGACTGGTTTATGTATTTATCACACTATATTTTATTGTTATTTTAGAGTGCACTCCTTCTACTTAAAAAGAGTTAAGCATAAAACAACCTCAGGCACATACTTCAGGAGGTGTTCCAGAAGAAGGCATCACTATCACAGGAGATGACAGCTCCATGTGTGTTACTGCCTGAAGACCTTCCAGTGGGACAAGCTGTGTAGGTGGAAGACAGCGATATTGATGATCCCGCTCCTGTGTAGGTCTAGACTAATGTATGTATCTGTGTCTTGTTTTTACAAAAAAAAGTTTTGAGAGTAAAAAAAATTGCAGAAAGTGTATAGATAAGGATATAAAGAAAGAAAATATTTTTGTACTGCTGTACTATGTTTGTGATTTCAGCTAAGTATTATTACAAATTGGTCAAAAAGTTAAAAAATTTAAAAGTCTATATAGTTAAAAAGTTACAGTAAACTAAGGTTAATTTAGCATCAAAGAAATAATTTTTAAAATAAATTTAGTGTTACCTAAGTGTACAGTTGTTTAAAAAATTTACAGTAGTATACACTAACGTCTTTGGGTTTCACATTCACTCACCACTCACTCACTGACTCACCCAGAGATACTGCCAATTCTGCAAGCTCCATTCATGGTAAGTTCCCTATACAGGTGTACCATTTTTTATCTTTTATACTGTATCATTGTTGTACTTTTTTTTATGTTAAGGTATGCTTAGGTACACTTGTCATTATAACAATTGCCTACTGCAGTCAAGACAGTGACATGCCAAGGAGCAATAAGTTCTACCACCTAGCCTAGGTGTGTAGCAGGCTATACCACCTAAGTTCATGTAAGCATACTTTGATGTTTGCACAACGACGAAATCACTGAACAATGCGCTTTCCAGAACATGTCCCATCATTAAGTGATATTACGGTATGTAATTTTGTAGGTACATTTCTGACTAGAAGAACCAAGATGCTACCCAACTTTAACCACATGACTTGGTGTGAAAGAAATAATGGTTACGATTAAACAAGTTGACTAGTGTTCAACTTTCAAACTGAAAAAATAAACTGAGCAGAGGAGGTGAGCAAAAACACATTTAAAAAGAGAGAATGAATGGGTTTTTTATTCCTCCTTGCCTTCCCTTGTTTTCTTTCTTTGAGATTCCTCTTGGCTTAGCATAGGAGGACATATATTTCTTACCTTTGAGTGACTTATAAGCCTAAATTCTGAAAATATCAATGATTCATTTTCATGTTAGAATTCCTAAGTATGGATTGCCTAAGCCCGCGGGTTCGAGACCCACCTGGGCAACTGGGCGAGACCTCATCTCTACAATAAATAAAAAAAACAGCCAGGCGTGGTAGCGCGTGCCTGTAATTCCGGCTACTCAGAAGGCTGAGGCGGAAGGTTTGCCTGAGCCCAGCAGGTAGAGGCTGCAGTGGCCGGGGAGCAGCCACTGCACTCCAGTCTGGGCGACAGAGTGAGACTCCAACTCAAAAAAAACAAAAAAACAACAAAAAAAAAACAACTCCTAACTATCAAAGTCAGGAGATGATCATATAATGTAAAGGTCAAAACACCTTAGAAAGCATCAAATCCAGCACTTCAATTTTACAGGAGAATTATAGGCCCAGGAAGTCAAACTGCCTTGCCCAGTCAGGAAAAGTGTGAGAATAATCTGGAAGCTGGGCCTCTTCACCTCACATCTGGACTCCATGACCTAATGGCACAACCCTCTTGAGAGAGGGCGGGATGGAAGAAGAAGGCAAGGAAGGGCTCAGATAGTGTCTCTCCCACTACAGCCAAGACTGGACAGTCTCACTATTTTCCAAGGAGGAGACGGGGTGGGGGGGGGATCTTGCGGGGGTGGGGGATGGTTGACTGTTCCCTATCAGGCATGTATAAAGACCACAGACACCCACTTGGAAAATAATAAGTATGTCATATGGACAAGACTGCTTTAAATATAGTGACGGAAACTTCACAGATCTAACAAATTTTCTTTCTTCCAGTCTACTTTTGTTCTGGAAAGTTCTGGGACTTGAATCACTGTGCTGCTCTAAGGCCAAGAGTACATTATTACAGCAAGTAATATGCAGGATGTCTTCATTTCTATCCTTCCTTACTCTCTCCCTCTTCTGTCTTCCTTCTTTTATCCACCTGGCTTTCATCTCATTCCTTCTTTTGGATAACTAGCTATACTATTTAATAATGTTTCCTTTTACCCTTGAGCAAACTTTTTTTATCAACCAGTAGCAACCTTGCTAATCTTTTGGTCAGCAAAATGTTTCCTATTTTTCTTTGCCTTATAACAGTCCATTTAGGGTGGAAGTAAAAGAATTATTTTTAAATATTCTGGGGAAAAGGTAAGCACAAATAAAGCTCAATAAATAATGAAAATGTTATAAATAAACTACTTTGGGGGGATCAAAAATCTTTCTTTGGCTTTGTTGTTTATACCATGAAGAAAACTGCAGAGAGGGCAAACAGAACCACCTACCCACTTTGCCTGTAGCGTGGCTATTTGTACCTTCCTCTGCCCTTCAAAGAGACCAGGGAGTCTTGATAAAGCCATTTATGAGAATCTGGATCTTCATCCATATTCACAGATCTCATCTGGGCTCTGGGAGTTTGTTTAGCCACTGAAACTATATATAAAATTATCTGCAGAAATCAATTACAGAACTCTCATCTGTAAATTTTTCTGGCTTTTTGAAAATCTAACTGAATAATTTAAACCTTAACCTAATTGTTGAACAGTGTTTTCCTTCTTTATTAAAAACAAAACAAAAAACTGTATGTGCTTGGGGCTTTACCGAGAAGGGCCAATGTCATAGGATTCTCTTGGAAAGCTCTAAAATAGGATAACTTCTGATGTGCCTGAATACCAAGGCTGGAATGAATGATTTATTTGGATACTGCAAACTCTGCTATTTTACAGGTAAAAAAAGATTCCCATCAATTAAGCCTGGCATGGAATGGTAGGGTGAAGAACTGAAAACCCAGGATTTAGCTTACTCCCGGGGGCCTTGGACTCCCTAAGTATCACTTCCACAGCATAGGCATGGGCCGGGCAGTACTTTCAAGGAATGTTTCGAGAGTTGCTGCAAGTCACCCAGCTCCCACTTCCTCTCACCTCGGCCCACCATTCCCATACACAGGGACCTCACCACTTGGAGGCTAGGCTGGCATGACTCACCACGTGTCCGCTGAGCTCACGACTGAAGCCGGAGGCCTGCTGTCTCTGATAGTACTCCAGCTGCTTCTCTGCCAGTTCTACCCGCTGCAACAGATTCTCAATAAAGTCCTGGAGCCGGGCTTTCCCTTGAACCTCTTTCTCAGCTGCTGCTTCCAGGAAATGGTTGAATGTAACAACTTCTCTGCAAGGCAAAAATGTCAGGTCACAAAATAGAGAAACACACATATTTAGTGGACACCTACTATGCGTCAGTTATTCCCAGGCAGTACGGCTATGGCAATGATGAAAGAGATAAAAATCACATCTTAGTGATTATATTGAGAGACTACATTTTAGTAAAGGGAGATAGTCATTACAAAATGTACAAGTAAATATATGTCAGGTGGTAATAAATGCTGAGAAAATTGATACTGGGTTCAATGGGACAGAGGAAGGAAAGGGGTGGATAATATTTTAGAAAGCAAAGTCAAAGACAACTTTTTGGATGGGATAATATTTCAAAAGAGACCTGAGGATGCCCACTCTCACCTGAGGAAGCCCTGAGGAATAAGCCATGCAGGTATCTGGGAAGAGCAAACCAGGCAAACCAGGGCTAAATAGATGGGTGGGAAGTACAGCAAGGGGGCCTGCACAGGGGAGGGAGCCAGGTAGGGCCTCACAGATCACTGTTAGGATTCCAGATTTTATTATAAATGAGATGGGAAGCCATTGGATGTACTGCTTTTAAGAAAAGCTCTGATTTAGATTTTTTTGTTTTTGAGTCGGAGTCTCACTCTTCGCCCAGACTGGAGTACAGTGGCCGCTCCTGGCCACTGCAGCCTCGACCTGCTGGGCTCCGGTGATCCTTCCACCTCAGCCTTCCAAGTAGCTGGAGCTACAGGTGCGCGCTACCACACCCGGCTAATTTTTTGATTTATTGTGGAGATGAGATCTCGCCAAGTTGCCCAGGTGGGTCTCGAACCCGTGGGCTCAAGCTATTCACTCACCTCAGCCTCCCAAGGCGTGGGATTACAGGCTGAGCCACCGAGCCCGGTTGTGATTTAGATTTTTAAAGTCTGGCTGTTGATGGAGAAACGTCTACAGAGAGGGAAAGTATAGAAGCAAGAGGCCATGCTGAATGTGCATCAAATGAGGCATCTCGTCCAACGTTTTTGAGCTAAGAGCAAAACAGTCCAAACAGCCACCTTAGGTTAACCCAAGGACCACTGGGAAAGCTATTCTCATCCTGACATAAGAGAAGCAAGGGGCAAGCTGCCCTCCACTAGCTACATAATTCATTGTAGATTCCCAAATTCAGAACATTTATAATAAGTTTATTGCCATTTTATATTTTCCTTTTTAAATGAAAGGATCAGTAACATTTTTTTTCTGAATTATAAACAACATAAGTTCTTTATTTTAAAAAATCAAACAGCACATTAAAAATATAAAGAAAGAAAGATCACCTGAAACTCCATCATCCTGAGACCACCACTGTTTATTTTGGTAGCCATCTTCATGAGCATCTTTGGATGAATACACACACACACACATACACAAGCATCTCTTGATGAATATTGATAAATATATACACATACAAACATACACACAGTTTTTCTCCTTTTCCTATGTTACTTTCCCTTCTCAATTTACCCCTTTCCACATTCTCTTTCCCAGGCCAAGCACCAGGTAATCAGCACTACCAACACGGTATATTATCACAGTTCTCTTCGCCTTATTGTCTTCACATAAGAAGTTAGGAATATCCTTTAAGTCATCCCCTTTGTATGTTCTGTCATCCCCACTAGAGCTAATGAATTCTATGTTTTTATTACCTGTTGGATACAGCATTTCCTCTATGTGTCTCCAAAATCTCTAGACCTTCAAGAAGTGGCCTTTCATTGTTCTTGCCACATTCAATTTACACATGATTCTACCGACTTTCATCACTATACCTTCAGCTTCTTTCCGTTTTGATTGATGAACCCTAAATTTTGTATGTCTAACCTCATTCTGTTAATTCTAGACAGTCAATTAAATTCATTGCCTTCTTTGCACCTTCTCAAACTCCACTTGAACTTTATTTTCCACTATGCTCCAAAATTTCTTGAGAGTAGAACTTCAGGGAAGTCTGGTTCAGGAAATCACAGTTTTATATAAGATCTTTGCAAAATGGCTGCTACTGGTTTCCAGTTCCTTTATTCTGTACTTATGGTCAGTGTGCCATTTTTACAATTAGTCATGACTTTTCTCTCACAAATATATTACATCACACTAGGCCATGCTGAAGCTCTTCTGATACTTCCTATAGAGTCACATATCTCTGCAAACCTTGGGAATGATATATTTATAAAAACAGAAAACAGGCTGGCTCTAATGATTCACTCAAAGAAATGATAATGATACCAGTCCAGTCCCCTTTTTCTCTAGTTTCCAATCTGGATCAAACATAAAACATAATCCCCTAATTATTCCATTATCTTTCAGTAGCTGAGAAATATCCACACAAGAGAAATAAGAGTCATTTTGGAAAAGTTTTCCTTCCTCATCGAGTTTCAAGTTTACTTCCAGATGTTTCTGTATGAGCCCTCAAAAGAGGACATGATCCTAGTTATCTAGGCCATGAACACAAGCCAGATTTTAAGCTCTACCATCATTAACTTGGTCTGCCTCCTAGATAAGCCACAAACCTTAACTAGCAGCAAAGAGGTGGAGAGTCTGTGCATGGTATTACCCCCAGTCCTCTCGTGGCTCTTGGTTATGGTTTAGGCTTTCGGGATGGAGTATTACCATAGCTCAAAAGCACCACTGGAAACTCACCCCTGGAAAACGGATACTACTACTTCTTTCCGACATTAAGGCTTCAAGTCATCCTGCATCAAGTCGATCATAAATGTTTCCAGGGTGATATTTAGGATAATTGAATTATGAAACCGTCACCACCTTATACTTTCAGAGAAAACGACCAAAAACAAAACCAGAAGTTTCAATCACTTTTTTCCAGTTCATTTTAATTAATAGTATTTCCTATAGTTGTCTTATTATAGAAATATTTCACATTCATTATGAATATTTCAAATTCATAAAAAGAGACCTATTGGGCAAGGGATCCACTTGGGCAAGGCCTGGATCAGCTTTCTGTTCTCTGTTCTAAGCCCGTTTCTGTTCTCTGTGCTAAGCCTGTTTTAGCACTCAACACAATGCTTGACACATATAAAATATTTAATAAATATTTGTTGTAATTAATGTTTACAAGGACAAGGAAGAAACAAACAAACAAACAAAATGACCAAATCATACCATCCAAAGGTACTACTATCAGTACCTGATATATATTCTCCAGTCACTTTTCTCTTTGTATTTTTACTAGTCCAGGACTCTCATGCCTTACAGTCTAGTATATGAGAAGGCAGCAACATTTGACGGCTTAATTCCACGAGAGTAATATCACAAAAGTAAGAGGACAAATCTTACTAACAGTGCTTATGACTGTGGCTGTATTTTTAAATCATAAAATGTGTTGCTACTGGTTCCATATAAAAATTTTAAAAATTGATATTAATGCTCCTAGCTGATCCTAGAGTATTATGCCATGTTGTAGAAGAGAACTTTTTTTTCTTTTTCTAACTTCCCTCAGCCAATTATCTTGTGCCCTGAAGCTGAGACATTAATACCCTCTATATTTTTCAATCAATCTGGCACTGAAGCTAACCTAATTTCAGTTTGTGGACGTATCAAGTCAAGTAGGAAAAAAAAAAGACAGCTAAAACAAGCCTGATGGTATAGTATGATTTTGTTTTAAAAGGGAAGTTAAACATAAGACAAGAACTGGAAAGGTTCACATTCTGAGATTGTGTAGAATATCTTTGTTCGATGAAAAAAGCATCAAAATTGAGTGACTGTGGGAAAGCATGTGTGTACATCTCAGACTCGCCTTTCATTCACATCTTGTTCAGTCTGGATGAATATGCAGAACCACCTTTTATTTTCCCAAGGTATCTTGGGATTTTTCTGAATGAAAAAGACAGGCATTTAACCACATTGCATGTATAACCTTTATAGCAATTATTCTCCAAACAGCAAAATATCTATTCAAAGTGCAGGACCGACCAATGGATCTCAACATAGAACAAAATATCCATTAATATGGTTTCAGATCCCATGTTGCAATTAATCTTTAAGAAACTACAAATTGTCTTATCTCTCCTATTCAACATAGTGCTGGAAGTCCTAGTCAGAGCAATCAGGGAAGAGAAGGAAATTGGGGTATCCAAATAGGAAAAGAGGAAGCTAAGCTACCTCTCTTTGCAGATAATATGATTCTATGCCTAGAAAACTCTAGGGAGTCTGCCAAAAGCCTCCTTATACTGATAAATGACTTTAATAAAGACTCAGGTTACAAAAATCAACGTGCAAAAGACCAGTTGCATTTCTATTCACCAGCAACAAGCAGGTAGAAAAACCAAATAAAAAACACAATCTAATTCATAATAGCCACACAAAAAAATGAAATACCTTGGCATCCGCCTAACCAGAGAAGTGAAAGACTTTTACAATGAGAACTACAAAACGCTACTCAAAGAAATCAAGGATGACACAAATAAAAAGAAAAACATCCATGCTTATGGATTGGAAGAATCAATATTGTCAAGATGTCTATCCTACCCAATGCAATCTACAGATTCATGCAATGCCCATCAAATTACCAACATCATTGTTCACAGACCTGAAAATGACAATACAGAAATTCATATGGAAACAAACAAACATAAGAACACAAATAGCCAAAACAATCCTCAGCAAAAGGAACACAGCAGGAGTTATCTATCACACTTACAGGCTTTAAACTTTATTATGAGACTATAGTAACCAAGACAGCATGGTATTGGTACAGAAATAGCACACAGACCAATGAAACAGGACAGAGATTCGAGAAGTAAAAACACAATCTCTCAATCAACTCACCTTTAACAAATCTACCAATAACAATCATCGGGGGAAGGAGACCATATTTAGCAAATAGTACTGGGAAAATTGGCTAACCACATGGATGAAACTGGATCCCTACCTATCACCATATACAAAAATTAACTAAAAGTGGATCAAATACCTAAATGTAAAATCTCAAACTATAAGAATCCTAGAAGAAAATGTTGAAAACACTCTTATGTACATTGGAGTAGACAACAAGTTCTTGGACAA